TGTGAGTCAACTACGGGTCACTTGATCACGTTATTAATGTTTCGTAAAAAATGGCCCACAATTTATGAAACTCGTTATTGGGTCCAAATATTTTCTTCTGTTTTACATTGTTTTAAACACTGTAAGTCTAAATTTAAATTATGTTGAAGGAACAAATGAAGTTTCATGTGTAGCCTGTGTAACTTTTTCCACGATTGCCAACGTATTCTGAGAACAAAAACCTTCCTACGGCATGCAGAACATGTGACGATCACGGCAGTCGATTATCAAAATTATAGTATCGAGTCTCATCATACAATGGTTGCGAGTTCCGACTATAGAGGCGTCCGGTATCATCCCCTCTAGCACGCACACACTCGAAATTTTAGGGTGTGTAAATTAACAATGTAATTTTTAGAAAAAATAAAAGATTTCATTCAGAATTTGTATTCTTTATATTACTTGTATTTGGAAATGTTTTACTTCGTACAGCATTAGGCGAAACAGAGCATGTTATTAAGTCAATTTTGTTTTATAATTTTTCATGAAAATATAACGATCATTGTATCTATAAAATGATAAAACTGAGAACATAGAGGACGAAGTATAGATCTCTAATACTGAAGTAAACCGACTATATAATTTCAAAATGAATGTGTTTTTTTCAATGTCTTTCTGAAATAAAAGAAGAAGCCTAGCTGCTGTGGTCGCATTATGGCGAAGTCGACCACAAAGTCACGAGCCATTTTGTGGCAGGAAGACAGAGAAAGCAGTGCCTAGGTTATTACCGTCTATTGTTGCATAGATGAACCCTTGACGACAATGCTATCATCCAGCTCTCTTTGGCCGTTCATGGGCTACGTCGCGCAAGGAAACCAAACATCTAAGCTGTCATGCACTGTCTGCTTTGCCTGATGAACTTCAGATGTGTCGAATAGGGTGAACCATAAGCTTTGTTTGGTCAGAGAATGATATAAAAGACAGATTGCGTGTGTGAGCGAATGCTTACAGTTACGTGTGACCACAAAACAGAGAAACCCCTATTGTCATGTGGGTTTCTTGTGTATTAATACATATCGAAATTATTATAACTCATCGCCGGTTTCCGTGTTCTTGTCGATGCTTACACAATGGCCGACGTACCGTCACCTGGTGTGACCAGAAGGGCTCTAATATAAACAGAGACACACATGGCCTGACTGGCGAACCGCCAAAATATATCTTGCCTAGATAAACGTTATTTTTGCCTGTCTTTTCTTTACTAACGTTAATGCTGATAGATCTTACAAGTAGATTTAAAATGTAATGATGTGATTTAGGTCTGTCCGTGTTCGACGTAAGGAAACTGTTGTTATATGGATCGTCTCAGCTCACACCTCGGGTTTACTTCTACAAATTCTATGAATTAGGATAGTATATTATGAAGTAGGTGCGGAGACTATATAAGCATACCAGTAGGTGTTATATCTTTTTATTAAAACAATACTGCCTGTGTAACGTTTGTACGTTAAATATAGACAAGCTAAATTATTTATTTATGGACCCATATCTGTTAATTTCTCAAAGCTGAGAAATTGTGATGGGTTATTCTCGTTTTGGTTGTAATTTCCGTCGCCTGCTTGAAGTAATGAAAATATTTCAATAAAATTTATTTGAATGTAATATATTTTATGCTTATAATTACTCTAAAACATGAATGAGCGGTGTTCTCTTCCTTACTATTGCAATTCGCTCCTACCAACTTTGTTGTAGACGGACTTTAGTTTGTGGAATATGAAATTTTCACAGCCACTAATATGAAAATGTCCCTAATCAGGATAATTCCCTCTAAAACGTGGGATAATATTTGCCGGACTAAATACACTGTGCTGCATCCTATAAAGTCATTTTTCTGTAGAACATAGAACATACGGTCACCCAACCTCCGCCTCATAATTTCTTGATTCGATTGTAAGAAACTTCTAATCAGTAAGAGATTGCTGTCTTCTGGGTAATTGCGCCCTGTCGTCGGGTACAAATTTACGGACGTTTTAGAGGTGTAGGCTGCCTCTATTAGTAGGGCGATGATCGCGTTGATGATGGAGGTAGAAAGCACTTGTGCAAGTCGGTAAATTTCTACCAGACTACACGGTTTAACAACCCAGAAGACAGTCATGTTCATACTCGCCGCGTTAGAACCTCAAATATCTAATCAGTTGTTCACATCGATGTAGTCCAGGTAATTTAAAATAAATAAAAGTGTACAGCAAATAAGTCTTGGAATAACAAGTGTAAAGATGTATGTTTAAAAGCAAGTTTGTCGACTATAGAATCTTGGAAACGAAAACATAATTACGTAGACACAAATTATTAGTTACTATTATTTTCAAACAACTATTCCTGCTCGTTTACTCAGAAATGCCGGCTATCATAGACCGCAATGCCTAGTTTTAGTCGTGTGTTTATGTGTTTTATTTTTGTAGACGACGTTGGGTGACGATGAAACACATCGCCTCTGTCGCTCTTCAGGGTATGCGCTTTTGGCACAAGAATAAGGAGCTCCCATTGCTCTACTTATAGCAAACATACAGATGTATACGTCTAAGTGAAATAATTGGAAGGCTTGATCGTGCAAAGTTCACGCTCCATGATATGGTTTAAGCTTGTAAAACAGGAAACTGATTAAAGTCTCATATAACTACTAACATAGGAAGGTCCCGTGTTCAAATCTTGGTGGGAGGAAAGCCATTCAAAAATTCTGACTGACGTTTCTTTATTTGTGGCTTATTCAATGACGCTGACACTAAATCAGATTATGTGGCGTCCAGTGATAGCTCAACGAATGGCAAATGAATCTGATAGGATATTAAAGAAAGCAGAAGTGGCTAGCGTTTGTCTTTGCTTACAAACGGCAAAAGACGGATCAGAAGTGAGGCCCCTCGTTTTGGTCCGAGGGTACGATAATGTGTTGCCTCATCAGGGCTATAGCACACTTCACGGGTTTGTGACAGATGCGTGTGGATTAATGGTGGAATGATGATTGTGCCCTGTCAGCGGAAAACCGAACGTATCGGGGAAAACTCTGTTCCATTGCCAATTCGTCCACCACAAATATCACATTAAGTCGTCCGGTACTGAACCCGTATCTCTGTGGTAAGAAGCCACCGCGTGTACGCCTGAGCTGTTATCGTTGTGGTAGGTTGCGCGTTTTGCTTTCAATGCATTAAAATGTAGGTCTATAGGCCTATTTCTCTGCATTATTTCATCCGCTTAGGTTTATTCTCAGTAGTCTGAATGAAATAATGGACTTTGTACTATTTTGCATTCGTTTTATTCAAATTTATTTATTTTAATTGAGAAGAACTATAAATTTAATACAAATTAGAATTTGACTTCTAGAGATTCTGTTCTTAAATGTTAAATAATATTAAGGCTATGACGTTCGTAATAAATGCTGACAAATTCAAGAAATGGTACGATACGGAACTACGTGGACGAGTCTTGACACTCGAGAAATCCGGGGTTCAAATCTCGGCCTCGAGATAGGCTACTCTCACTGAGATTTCCTCAGTCCCTCTAGACAAGTGCAGGGAATATCCGTTAAATTTTATCAAGACCGCTTCCTTCCAACTCCCTTCCAATTCATTAATCATCCTATTATTCATATAGGAATATAATTTGAGCTATTGACAACGTTTTAAAGCCTAGTGGTAACTATGTGTACCACCTCATGTAACAATCAGTAACTTTGTGTTATGTCCACAGACTGCATTTATGGGTTTTGCATAATCAGAAAAAGCAGTGACTCTTTCACTTATCAGCATTAACCAATGTAGTGTTGTGTTTTCTTTTAGGTAGGGACTGCATGTTTAAATGACCTATTATTAAGCAAAAGTTCAGTTTACAAGCGTCATGTAAATCCACGTAACAGTTAAACTGGAAGAATATAATAACTCCACAAAATTAATTGTGTTAGACAATGGCCGATTAACTGTAGCCTGATCATGATGAGACTTACTGGTGGCATTTACGAAGAAGAAAATCAATTAGCCTGGGTGACTTAGCTTCAATAATCAATTAGATCTTTAAAATTACGTGAATTGGTCAGTTTTTTCAATACGAATTGCTGCGTCATTCTTAGTGCAGGCATACCAGTACTAAAATGTGAACCCAAAACCTTGATCTTGTACAGCGGACATGTCTTATGATCAGGACAATTCACTTACTAACAAAAAAAACTAATCCCTATTTCAAAGTTTAGATGTCGCTGTGACATTGCTGAGGCTTTCTGTTCTATGACAATTTCCCTTCCAACTTTCATTTACTGAATATTACGTGCGAATAGAAACGCAGACGTGGACACAATTTTGACTAAATTCTGCTATTGTACTAGTATTAGACTTACGGTATTTTCTATTTATAGCTTAGTTACAGGGAATTATTTTTTCGCTAATGCCTTAGATTTTCATTAAATACGCCTGATTGTATACATGAGATAGTATTTATAAAATAGTTCTCATAATTTGACTTAGCTAAGCTTTTAGGACATTTGCGATATATAAGCTTATAAATTTAAACCAACATAAAAGTTGTTTTCTCTGAAGACGACCTGTCTGCTGGGTTACAGCGCCGTGTAGTTTGGTAGAAGTTTACTGACGTCCAGGAGGTACTTGCTGTCTTCATCGTCAGAGCGATTATGGAGGCAGCAAGGACCTCTGAGACGTTTGCAAACTTCTATCAGTTTACATGGAGAACCTTAAATCCTTCTTGTTTTGTTTCCCGGTGCAGTTTGTTTCAAATGCATTTTTCAGAATTACCTATTTCACGACTTGTAAAGATAATTTTAGCCAATTTTTATTGTTCTGTTGAGACAGTGTTGTAGTAATATTAGGGGGAACGTGTTATTTTATAAACCGCTTGAAGTCTATCGGAAACGTTCAAATAATAGTAGCCGAAGTAACTAGAAATCCTCCCTCCGGACACTAAAATTTGAGATTTGATACGCACTAAGACTGAGGTGGTGTGATGGTAGCTAGACTCACGTTGAGCGGAGCGAGGCGAGAGGGCTGTGTTGGGGGCGGTGGAGGCGGCGCTGGAAACCGCTCACACATCATCCGCTGATGCTGTTGCTGCTGGTGACATACACGTTGGTGGTGGTGGTGTTGGGGCCCTAGCTGCTGCCCTGGGCCCGGGGCACCCAAAGTTATGTTGTTTTGCATTAGTATCATTGATGGACATGTGGTGTTGGTAAGGGGGCGGTGTGATATGGCGCCACGTATCTTCTGGGTTTTATCACTGATAACGTTTAGACGAATAAAAACACTTCTGTAGTAAACACTGTTTCAAGACATCATGTTTTATCTTTCATGGCGACCACAAAAGTACACTTAATGATCCAAAACATTTTCGTACACACATTACGGTTTACGTATTTCTTTTTGTTCAATGAAGATTTTTGGATGAGATATTTGAGTGTATCACGCTGTTACTGGTTTCATTAGCCAAATATTATTTATTTATAAATTACGTATTTTAAAATATGCCACCGTTCACTAGACATATGCTGTGACACATGTTCGAAATAACTGGATTTCGAATTTGACAATTTTTTTTTTTGTTAGCTGTTCCAAAATATAAATTTTGTAAGTATTATTACACTTCACTTTCAGTACACACAGTAGTATATCGGAGGTATATTGCACACGAGATATAGTTTATTTTCACAGCACATTAGAGTATAAAAACTTTCGATTAATAAAAAAATTGCACACATTTCACATGAGTATGAAGTGACACTGCACCAGTTAGAGGTGACTGCTGCCAGATCTCGCAGCCGAAACTTCGGGTCCCAAGCCAAAGACTGCCGAAATCCATTCAGCGATACGTCTGAATCTTTTAAGAAAACACCTGGAGATATCTTTGCCATGTCATTGCCATCCTGGCTGTCGGATTTCTCCCAACGAGCGGAAAAGCAGTTTAAGAGATGCATGCAATAACCTATCTAGTCTACATCGAATCCGCTGTGCATAATACGTACTGCAGCTGTAGGTGGGGGCGACTGTACAAGCCATGAGGTTCACTATTTTCCGTACTCCTATTGGGAATTTATCCTCGGTCCGAGATTACCCGAGCAAATCCGAGTTTAACCGAACTTGTAGCATAACGTGGTCATGTTTTATACGCGTCAAAAGATACATTTGAATGTGTGGTTCCTCAACGTCAATAGACAAAAGATACAAATTACAAGAATGTGAGGATTTCTTCTTCTTTTCTTTTTGGAAAAGTTGTATAGGAAATATTGACCTTAGTCATTTTACACTGAAAATGAAGGTGGTCCATGTGAGGGTTAAAAAAGAGGAGTGGGTGAAGATGTGAAAGGTGGGGTCCCAGCATGTGAAAAAGGGTAACGAGGGGCAGCAAAGGGGTTTCACCAAAAAAGAGGTTAGCAGAGGGGGTGGATGAGACGATATGAAGAGCTGGGAGGGGTGTTGTAAGGAGCGGAGGGGTAATGCTAAGGTTCGGAGTGGGGATGCTGAGGGGGATGCTACTTTTCTGTCTCTGTACTTACCACTTCCATCATGAGGCCCGCTCCGTTCGCTGGGTTTCCAGGCAACTTCAACTTGGCCGCTGATTGGTCGTCGGGACGACGCATGCGCGGAGCAGCTGCAGCGGTGGGCATCTTGATCTTATCCCCCCGGGCTGGTGGACTCCCACGACCGTCTCCTGGTTGTCGGGAGGTAACAAAAGATCACAAGCAAAAATCAACAAGAAAAGAAACAGAAAGATGAATATACCTGATGCTGCAACAGTTATCAGTAACATTGTTGTGAACAGACATTTTTTTAAATTTATTTTTATTATTATTATTATTGTTTTTCAATATATTCACCGTTTTACAGAGTATTTACTTCTATGTGCCCAAGATAAACCTTGCCCCTGAGGTACATAGTGCAGCAGATATTTCCGAAATACATTTTGTTTTTTAATACGTGTTACATGTATTATATAGATTTATTTTGAGGCATGACGAGGCCTATATGAAAAAATATATTACACCAGCGTGATGTACGATGTTTCTACAATGGCGGTTTTCTGAAGTCCCCTGATGTCGTGTTCGCCCGGGATGTTGGTTGTTGTTGTTGATATTATTATTTATGAAGACTGACTTTTTTACTGCGAGGGGAAACGCGAAGATGCGTGTATGAATCGTTAAACAGGCCATATGTAGTGAGCGGTGTCGTTCAGTTATCGCAACTGTACAGCATCTTACATGTGGTCCATGACATATCTGACAACTCTTTGTTTTTGAATTGTTAACGAAGTGTACTTTTTGCGGAAAATAGCTGATTAATTACTAAATTATAAGATACAGTGTTTAGAATGCAGTCTTTTAAACAGATGTGATTATTTGTTTATATGTCAAACTAATGGTGAAAGGTTAACTGGGAAAAATTTCGGTGATTTTTAACGTGTCTGTGTTATAGTCTTAACATTTTATAATAACATGTACAGGTCTACCGTAATGATTAAAATAGCGGTAGGCATAAAGGGACTGGACCTATTAGTCTGGAGCCTATTTATATATGAGCGGGTGCAATATCATTGTCTCGTAGTGATAGGTCTTATAGGCTGTTATAATCAGTACAGTGAACAAAAATGTTTTGCATTTGTCTTCAGAAAGATTTGAAACTCTAAGAATGTGAAAATGTCTTCTGGGATGTTGCGCCTTGTAATGTGGCCGACTTGACTGATCGCCCTATTGATGGAGACAGTAAGCACCTCTGAAACGTCGGTCAGTTTCTACCAGACTCGTCGCCGTGAGAATCTAATTTCGCAACTATAGTTTTGGTCTTCTGGATTCTAATGTCGTGTGGACTTGTAAGTAGATATTAATGTTCCGGAGGAACATTCTGCCTACATTTTCAAGTCCACACAGTCTTAAAACCCAGAAGACCAACACCGTAAGAACACCTTATCTCATAAGTGATCAAAATGTTATCTTCAGCAAGAATTTTTCTCTTATTAATTTTCCTTTAATGTCTCTTACTATATTAACTTTTGTTATAATTAACATCTGTTAACAGAGGAGGCATTATATAGGCCCTAGTCTGTCCAGCGTACTCGTAAATATAGGCTTGAAGCAATCTGTAGAAATGTAGCCCAGGACTAGAAGCCAGATGTCATACACTGAGACCAAATTTGGTCATTTATGATTAAAAGGTGTTGCTTCGAGATACAGATCCGAAGAATAGTATTTGTCCAGACCGTTTAATTGCAAATCTCAAATTCTGTTAGGCGAGAGGCTTAGTGTTCCAACGGATTTCATTACCACGGTCGCCTTTCTACTCACACCTAGCATTTGACTCACCGCCAAAGCTCACTATATAGCTACTTTATCAGATGTTGTTATCGGTATAGCAGTTGTAAGGGACAACTCAGTACGATACTAGGCCTAAATAAAATAATACAACGTACTAATTCAACAGCTACAAGAACTACCTAGAGTCGGCACAAGAAGATATAATAATAATAATAATAATAATAATGTTTTAAATGTTCTTTTAAGCATATACATTTATTATTTTTATATTTCAAAGAAATTTGTTGGATCATACGATCCTACCAGTTACCAGAGGGTTATCTCAGATGTAGGCTCATCGGAAAACAAAAAAAAACGTTTCTATTGCACAAGGGTTATCGCAAGCAAAATATAACTAAGATTAGTAGAGATAACACCAGGCGCGTGTCCCTGACATTGTGTCTGCCAGTGAATATGCGAAAAGCTAACTTAAACGGAACAGATATTTATTTTACCATAATGCTTTAATTAGCTAGTTTGTTGCTTTAGTGTGGTTTTAGTGATACTCACGTCAGTAAAGCATGAATTAGTAAGACCCAGCGCGGGCGGAAGAACCTAGCGCTGTCGTCAGATTTTTCTCTGAGTATCAGATGGCGATACGCGATTTCGTATGCAGTCTCAAAGTTTCTGTTCGAGGTTTCTGGTCCAAATCTTAGCCCCGAGGCTGGCTATCATGATTAAGTCTTGTGGTTTTCCTAAATTACTCCCAGTATATGCGGCGATAGAACCTTAAATAGGCCACGAACACTTCCTTCCGCATTAATTTAGGCCTTCCAGAAACAGAACTTCTTAACTTCAGTACGAATGTTGATTTCTTGCAAGATTTTAATGAGTAGGCAATGGAATGGATGGCCGAGATTCGATTCCAGGCAGTATCCTGACCGGCCCTGGAAAATATTTCACGGTTTACATTAAGTTTCCTGTGACTTGTCGCTTTTATTTGCTTTAATTATTTTTTTAATAAATAGGTTGTTTTATAAATCACACGAGTCTACAAAACTTTAATTACAGGGGTGTACTTGTGGTGGACGCTGTGTAATAGGCCTATAATATTTTGTTGGTTGTCAATCGCTTAAAGGATGAAGAGTAAAGCTTGTTGTGGCTTGTTTGGTCACATGAATCTGATTAGCCCATCTGAGGATAAATGCCTGTATTTCAGGACGTGTGTCAGATCATTAGTCTCGGTTTATTCTGAAGTATTAAGAGGTAAAATAAGGTTATTGGTTTGTATAACAAACGTTAAATGTCTATTTAAATTAGTTTTTTTTTGGAGGGGGGCGGGGGTAGTAGCCAGTTCAACTTCAGTATCATTAAAAGCAGTAAGTCTGTGTTTCGTTTTCCCAAAGTAATCCTAACCCCTTAAAGTCCAGTGATAACTATTCGTACCACCTGCCTTAATAACTAGAACTCTTCGTTTCGCCCACAGAGTGTATTTGTGAGTTTCGCATTGTTCGCAGAGTAGCAGCAAATATTTCCTTAAACTGCGCTAAGCAGCTGATCTTAACGCATTGTGTTATCTTTGTGATAGGGACTGAAATGTTAAATAAATATTTTTTGGGCGAATTTATAGGATTTAAATTGTTGATTACTAATTAGTTTCTACTAAAGTGTAAGACAATTTACGTGTTTCTTATGTTGGAATGCTTCAGTCGGACGGAGTGCGATTATGATGTCTGACAAGTTGATTTCCGGTAGTCGTCGTATGGGCCAGTGGAGTTTGTTATTAACCTCTGCCTGTCTAAATTTATAGGCTGTTATCGTCGTCATAGAATTAGATTTCGGAAATATAGAAAATAATTTTGAATCAGTGAAGTCAACCATTATTGTGATATTATTTATAACCACTTAAAACCAGGAGCTCATGAAAGTAATATTTAAATATTAGGTACTGCTTCCAACAAGACTTAGTGTATTTTTGTTACAAGATTAGTCGGCTAATGTTGTTAAATAATCGCCATTCATTCCGAGGGACAAAGGAATCGAATCTGAGAAGGAGGTCCACAGTCCATGAACCAAAAACGTCGTTCATGAACGGATATTTAGGCTTTAAGCAAGTTTTACGAAAAGTTACAGTTGCCTTAATTCTATTCATAATAAAGAAGAAATGTAGAAATTTGTCAAGGATTTATCTTAAACTATTAATGACGTCGTCTTATGTCTCATAATGGTTATCACATTTGCGATGTTCAAGTGTCATTTAACAGTTGCAGAAGCCAACAACCCTTACCATTCGTCGCACAAGTAATCCACTCACATAAACAATATTTCGCATAGGTCATATGAAGTACAAATGACATACAGGTTGCATTCTATAAAATGTTCCTTTTACAAGAATAAATTGTATATCAGATTCGTTACATAGAATGTATTCATGCGTAGGTCTAAGCCAACAGAATCATTCACCATAGGCTCAGGGGGAGGTGATGGCGGTGGAGGTGGTGGGGGGGACTCACAGTTTGAGAATCGCTGTTGCAGTGAACAAGCCGTATACAAACACTGCACAGTATGTCCGGCGAATGTGTAAAATCCTATCACCATGCGTGGAATTACTCGTGATTTACTGACGATCGCAGATGGAATAGGACAACTTATTCTTGTACGGCAAGGTCTGGTAGGAGTACACTATTAATACTTTGTTACATAACAAGCAGCCTGTTGTAAATTACCAGATGTTTTACATATTAAATTACTATTCATTTATTTACTTAATAACACCTGTAAATGGGTTACAACTCACTAAATATTATGTTCATGGAGAGAGGAATTTTAATATGATAGCATGGCATTAAAAAGAATCACTTATTTAGAATATGTTTAAAGTCAAGCTAAATTGCATCGTCTAAGACCTATATATATTGCTCATATTAAAAGTCAATCTTAGTTACTGTTATTACTATTTTAGCAGGGA